ACCCGCGACCCCGTGCCGCGGCCCTGCCATGTTTGTTTCCTGAATTTCTCGTTATAGAATCATCTTGCGAAGTGTGGCTGTCATGCCTGGATATGATATGCTTGGAGCAACAATGTCCAGGCATGCGGTGAAAGGTTGACATGCCCGTTTACCAAGTCCAAAGCTTCAGTCAGTCCAATCTGATCAGTTGGGCCTGGCAAACTCCCTGAGCCCTCGGCCCCGACATGTCTCAACACATCGGAGCTGCAGAAGCGCTGCACCGCCGGCTAATCTCAAAATGCTGGAACCACTTTCTTTTTTATCAAAAGTCGTGCTTTTTGGTCAGAATCTGGGGCCGTCACAAGGGTTGCAAGATGTGTTTTGTCAAACGCCCTGTGTGCCAGAGCCAAGAGCCGCGCAAAGCAAGCATCCGCCAGGGTAAATTAGATGCGTACTTGGCAACAACCTCAAACCCTTCAGCTGAAGCTTACATAGGGTTCACGTTATCCCTCGTTGACCAAATGTCGCGAACGCACATAAACGCATGCGCACCAAAAACAATGTTATGTATATGTATGTCCGCCGACATTGTGGAGGCGTGTCGGATACTTAAGAGAGGATAGAGGAAAACACCCCGCCGTACCCCCCCCCCCCGCCCGACGTCAAATACGTAGCGGGGGTGGAGGGGGGGGGGTCAAGCACGTACCGCGCGGTAATTTGATGACGTTCCACTAAACGTAGTCTTCAAGTCTTCAAAACAGGGTTTCCTGCCGGCTCTTTGCTGGTTCGGGTTTTCGGCTTCCTTTTCCAGATTTTCGGCAAAAGGAAGCCGAAAACCCGAACCAGCAAAGAGCCGGCAGGGGGATTCGAGCCTGGGACCCCTGTTTTGAGACACCGGCTAGACACCGGCTCCCCGAAGACTACGTTTAGTGGAGCGACACCCGTGATCACATCACTGCGCTTAACGTCACACCACGGCACTTTGCTTCACCTCGCGAAAATTGCATTCGCGCCTCCCTTGGTGATCTCACTGAACCACGCGCAGACACTGGACCGCCCTCTTTCCCCCTTTCAGTCCCCCTTCGTTTACCTTTCATGTCCCCTTGCTTTCCTATGTTGACTTCCTGTCCCCTGCAGGTCGTTGCATGTCCCTTTATTTCCCCCTTCCTTTCCCTGCGCTTCCTTGCATTTCCCCTTCGCTCCCCGGTATTTTCCGGAAAAAACCACGGGCTTGCCAACATGTTCGCAAACATGCTGTCAAAGACACAGAGTTTTTCCAGATTTTCGGCATGCCTTTGACAGCATGTTTGCGAACATGTTGGCAAGCCCGTGTTTTTTTGTTTGCTTTTTTTCCGGAAAAATACCGGGGTAGGGAAATGATTGGAAATGCAGCGGACAGGAATGGGAAATGAAGCAGACATAAGGGGAAATGAAGGGGAAAGGAACAAGAAATGCAGGGGGAATGCAGGGGAAACGCCGGGACCTAAAAGACAGCGCAGGGAAATGAAGGGGACATGAGTGGGAAATGAAGCAGAAATAAACAAGGGGAAAAGGACATTGGAAGGAACTGGGTGGGCCATGACGAGGAAATGATAGGACATGACGGGAAATGCAAAGGAAATGAAGGGGGCATCCAGGGGAAACGCATGGGATTTGAAGGGGTAGTACACCGACAATACAGAGGTAATAAAGAAAAAATTGCACGGAAGGGGCTGAAAAATGTGCGCTTTGGCTTGGGGGGCTGGGGAGTATGGGGAGCAGAGGGAGCGAGAGAGGACGACAGAACACACGTGGGAGGAGACAAGAGAAAGGGGAAGAAGGAGAAAAGGGAGAGGACAATGTCGGCGGACTGAGCCGGAGGCTCTAAAATATATACATATATGCTGCATACAATATGTAAAGGATGTGCACCGTGCACAGTCAGAATCTTTTGCGGGACGCTTTCCGAAAAAGAACCAACATGGCGCTAACCTTTCAAAAAATGCGACCCAGTTGCGATGATGCGACCCACTTGTATAAACAGAAAGAGTGTCGTTCAAAACAAGAACTCCTTTGCAACTATTTCGAAACGGGCGACCGGTCGGTACACTAAACCAATGAATGACGACCTGAAACTGTTCTTTCCTACGAATACGAAATGGGCGTGGCGGTGGCGCAAAAGAGTGCGACCACGACTGCGACTAGGAGAGGCACGCTCTCGTGAAACAAGGCTGAAGCAAATCATTCCTTTTCAAAAGCCAGGATTTTATGGGGCTGACAAACAAGAAAGCCGTGCAAAAAGCGAAGTGGAGGAACTGTGTGCTGCTAGCAGAAAGCAGAGAAACATCCTCCGAAGTGACACGGCTTCATCGTTTGTTTCTGCGTCTTTCTCGGCACATGCTTGGCAAGTCTTGTTTGCACGGGTCTGGCGCAGAAAGGGCTGTCCACAAACTGAAACAATCCAACAAAGCTTCCGCAAACCTTCCGCCAAAGAAATCCTTATTCAAAACCTTCCTGCATGTGTCCGCGTGCGTCCAAGCACAACGTCCCTCTTCCCGATACTGTCAAATTGCGGGCAGCGGTGTTAGGCACTTTGTGGTTTGTGAAAGTGAAACGAATGAACTTGATGGTCACACCTTTTATTTCTTTCTTTTTCTTTCTTTATGTTCTTTCTTTCTTTCTTTCTTTGTTTCTTGGTTTCTTTGTTTCTTTGTTTCTTTTTTGCTTTGTTTCTTTGCTTGCTTGCTTGTTTGTTTGTCCTTTTGATTGTGGTTTTGACTGCGTGTCTGTTGTTGCTTGCGATTGCGTTGTCTTCTAGGTCTGTTTGTTTGTTTGTTTGTTTGCTTGCTTGTGTGTGTGTGCTCTTGTGTGTGTGTGTTCGTGTTTGTTTGCTCGATTGCTTGGTTGCTTGCTTGCTTGCTTGCTTGCTTGCTTGCTTGCTTGCTTGCTTGCTTGCTTGCTTGCTTGCTTGCTTGCTTGCTTGCTTGCTTGCTTGCTTGCTTGCTTGCTTGCTTGCTTGCTTGCTTGCTTGCTTGCTTGCTTGCTTGCTTGCTTGCTTGCTTGCTTGCTTGCTTGCTTGCTTGCTTGCTTGCTTGCTTGCTTGCTTGCTTGCTTGCTTGCTTGCTTGCTTGCTTGCTTGCTTGCTTGCTTGCTTGCTTGCTTGCTTGCTTGCTTGCTTGCTTGCTTGCTTGCTTGCTTGCTTGCTTGCTTGCTTGCTTGCTTGCTTGCTTGCTTGCTTGCTTGCTTGCTTGCTTGCTTGCTTGCTTGCTTGCTTGCTGCTTGCTTGCTTGCTTGCTTGCTTGCTTGCTTGCTTGCTTGCTTGCTTGCTTGCTTGCTTGCTTGCTTGCTTGCTTGCTTGCTTGCTTGCTTGCTTGCTTGCTTGCTTGCTTGCTTGCTTGCTTGCTTGCTTGCTTGCTTGCTTGCTTGCTTTTTGGTTTGGTTGATTGATGCTTGATTGCCTGCTCTGTTTGCTTGTCTTTGCGCACTGGCGCTTGTGTGTATCTATGTGCTTGCATCGTTTCGTTGTTGAGTGTTTGGGCATTGGTGTGTTTGTGAATTTGCGCTTGTGTAGTTGTTTCTTTGTGCGTTTGTGCGTAGGTGTTTATTTGCTTGTTTGTTTCCCTGCCTGTTTTTGTTTTCCTCCTAGCTCTATTCCTTGCTTTATTCCTTGCATGCTGACTTGCCTGCCTGCCTGCCTGCCTGCCTGCTTGCTTGCTTGCTTGCTTGCTTGCTTGCTTGCTTGCTTGCTTGCTTGCTTGCTTGCTTGCTTGCTTTTTGGTTTGGTTGATTGATGCTTGATTGCCTGCTCTGTTTGCTTGTCTTTGCGCACTGGCGCTTGTGTGTATCTATGTGCTTGCATCGTTTCGTTGTTGAGTGTTTGGGCATTGGTGTGTTTGTGAATTTGCGCTTGTGTAGTTGTTTCTTTGTGCGTTTGTGCGTAGGTGTTTATTTGCTTGTTTGTTTCCCTGCCTGTTTTTGTTTTCCTCCTAGCTCTATTCCTTGCTTTATTCCTTGCATGCTGACTTGCCTGCCTGCCTGCCTGCCTGCCTGCTTGCTTGCTTGCTTGCTTGCTTGCTTGCTTGCTTGCTTGCTTGCTTGCTTGCTTGCTTGCTTGCTTGCTTGTTGCATGTTTGTTTGCTGGTGCCTTTGTTTGGTTTTGTTTAACTTGCTTTTTGTGTGTTTGTGTTTCTGGCTTATTGCTTGTGTACACTTGTGTGTTTTGTGTTTTGTTGTCTGCTTCCGTGTTCATGTGGTTGCGCGGTTGTGTTTTGCATGTTGCTGCAGTTGCATTGTTTATCTTTTACGCTCTGTCTGTATTTGTGTGTCTTGTATCTTGCCCTTTTGTGATTGTGCTTTTGCCATTGTGTGATTATGTGTTTTTGGTGTGATTGTGCTTTGCATCTTGCGAGTTTGTGTTTTTGTGTTTGCTGCTGGTGTGCGTTTGTGTGGTTGTGTTGATTGCGCTTGTTTGTGTCTTGTGAATTGCTATGTTTTTGCGAGGGCCTGAGTTTGCGGGGCCAAGCTGGGCCTGAGTTTGCGAGGGTGCTAAAGCGGCGGCAATGATATTGATCAATGTCAAATGACGCGATCATAACTTTGAATAGGGAAAAATGGTGTTATGTTTACAAGAGAGTGCAAAAATAATGATGAGAATGGTCTTGATGATTTTGGAGTTTTTGCTCTCTCTCTCTCTCTCTTTCTCTCTCTCTCCTGTTTGCGTAGTAAAACTCCAGGAACAATGTCCAAAACAACTCAAATGGGTAAGGCCAAAAACAAACACAAATTGGTGCTCTGTGGGTCCCCCCACTCAACATGATCCAATCTTCTCGTCAAAGCAATTTAGCGGTGTAACACAAGATACGTGTTACTTGTGCAAGTCAGGGTGTGCTCCCTGTGCCACGGAACTGCCATGAAGCATGTCTAAGGTCAGCACAAGTCGGGTACTGACACAGGAAACACCCTTCAAAACAATCTGCATGTTGAATCAAAACCAACCTCGATCAGCCAGGACTGCAGACCCATCCCTTCATCGCTTCCCCTTTCGCCTTTCAATCTGAGGTGCGCGTCGCATGCATCCAGTGCTCCTACCTCATCTAGGAGCTGGTGGTGCCACACTCAGCACACCGCTGGCAAACCAGGGCCAGGACGAAGCTTGGGCGGAAAGTTCGCACCCAGGCATGCAACTAAATCAGTGCTGGTCACTTAGGATTTCCCGCACTTCATGCTTGCTTGTGAGCTGCGCTCGCAGCAACACAAAAGCTTCCCTGACCTTGCATCCAGGGCTGAATTGAAGCGAAGGATGTGTTCCAATCATGCAGCCAGTCGTTCACATTACATCTGCAATGTGAACAAGGTCGTTGAAAGTTTGTAAGCTCAGTGCCCAAATCCGGACATACTCTGTACAGCTTCTCAAGGCTTGGTGAAAAATACTTAGCACGTGCTGGGCACTGTGCTCACTGTGCACTACACATACACATGCAGCATGCTCTCTGCCACACGCGCGGGTTCCGTTCCCAAAAGGATCAAACCCAAATTCAAATGCCAAAATCAAAGCTCGAGCAATCTCGGTCCTCAGGCCCCGCCCATCGTCTTCAGAGTCGCGTTGCTGTTGGGTACCTGGGCATGTCTCTTATGGTCGAGCACAGCACCGCCCTTCAAGCCCCGATGACTCTCGTGCTTAGGCGCGATATCCTTGAAGTGTTCGTTGCGCAGCAACATTGGCACTGTGTCGTTACCTTTGATCCGAGCCTGGCACAAAAATGACAAAACATCTCTCTCGCGCGCAAAATGGCGCGGATGGACTTTGTCACAATTCCTGGCAAGACTCTGCGTCACCAGCAAAGTCCTCAATGGACACCTGCAGGGCATTGTGCTCAGGCCGAGCAACCCAAAGTAAGCTCGGCAAGCTTCGCACCTTCTCATCGACCGTCTCCACTTTGAGTCCATGCGGCTGGTTGGAGATGAATATGCGGCCACAGTTTGGCACCTTGCCAATACAAAACATAAGTGGACCGTCCTTCTCAAAGCTCGATTTCCTAGGCAAACCAAGGGCCTGGAACCTCAAGCCGAACCGAACGGAACCGAACGGAACCGAACGGAACCGAACGGGTCAAGGTGCCAGGATCTTGCTGGCGCTGTGCAGGCCCGTGCGCACGAAGAGCGTGGCGCGGGGCTCCACCAGGTAGCCCGACCTATGGGCCAAAGCTTTCCAATGCTCTTCAAAGCTTTGCTAAAGCTTAGCTGAGCTACATGATGGCATGTTCTCCGGGAGGGACCTGGCGGGCAAACCCCTCGAGTTCTTGAGAACCTGCTCACACTTCAACCACATACGCGTCATGCTGCCTATTGCTTCATGCTCACAGGGGCCTGCGTCAAGAAAAGTCTGCAAGTGGCGCGTAGGTTCGGCATAGGGTGTCCCATTTCACAAAGTTCTGTCAATCTGCCTCACGCCTCTTGATTGGCCGGCCTGGTGTTCGATGCCATGCAGCGGCGTGGCATCTCCGTGATGGGCAGCCTGTGCTTCAAAGGCGACACACGGGGTATGGCCATCATGTTGAAACTATTTCGAAGAGCAGCCCTACTTTTGACACAACCCGACATATCCTCTCAGATCAGGTCGTCCCTTGGCAGCAACTGCTGCAATTTTGTGGTAATGTGCAGTAAATCACAATATGATGTTCCCCCTACTTGCAATATTTAGGACATCCACTGCATCACAAAATCCTGCAAATGTTGACTCCACTCCTCGATGATGAGAACGGGTGTCTGCATCTGATTGACCACTATGATCTCTGTCATGAATGGCCTCACATCCCTCACCTTGGTCAAAGATGCAAAGCACTGCCCCTGATTTCTGCCGCCAAACTGTGACATGCATCTCGTTCCACAAAAACTGATACCATGAGCCCAGTGTCGGTGTCGCAGTGCAAATGGGATCCGGAAAGGCCCATGGCTTGCACAAATGCTCGCAGGCGATATCTCTGCCAATCTCCGAACTCAAACTGCGGGGTTACAAGAAAGGCACGTCGCACTCTCTCGCGTATTCTGTCCCTCTCTGCACAGCAAAGCAAAATGGCGCCCTTCTGGCCTCTCAAATCCCAGCTGAACTTGTGAGGCATCAAAACACAAAGCGCGTTTTTGCTGAGCCTCAAGGCTGCCGCCTCAGGCCCGCATAGAAGGCCTGGCGCTCCTGCCGCATCTCCTACCGGGCGGCGGACGCGTCAACAAAACTGCGATTTCTGGTGATCTTTGAGGAAGAAGTAGCACAAGGGGCAGACGGGTTTACGAGTGCCTTGATTGATGACATGAACATCTCCTCTTCCATCTCTTCATCCAGGACACGCTGATGAAATTCAGCCCAGCCATCTGGCAATGTTGCCTGACAAGGCTCCCAGAGTAGCTTGCAACATCAATCCAAAACCCGTCATCTAAAGAACCTGCCATCTACCCAGAGCCCGAGCGAATCACAGGAGCCTAAAGCTCCCTCGTGGGGAGTCACGGCACTGGGGCTTACAATATGACAATATGACAGAAATGCGACATGTGGAAGACCTAAAATGGGAACACATTCCCGCAACCCTACTAATGCCTTGCTCAGAAGTTGGGGACCAACGCCCCTCTTCCCAAACAAACAATGTTTTGCAGTCTCTGCATCGTCTTTCGCACCTTGTCGTTCATCGGCCAGCCCTAGGACCAAACAAAAGCATGTGGTGGTGACATGTCATTCAAAACAGGCCAAAACTAAGGAGCCCCCGCCGGCATAGCTTCGAAAGAAATGGAAAAGGAACACAAACACTCAAAAGGCTCCTGATTGGGCACATTCACTGCACTTCATCTCTCTTCGCTGCATGGATTCCTAGCTTCAGGCTAAAACAGTTAAATGAGAGCAAAGGAGTGTTCGGTATGAGGATTGACAAAAGGCCTTGCGACCTGTCTCTCCGCCCCTGTGTGCCCTTTCTTCTGGAGGCCCGGAGGGAGCCCATGATTCGGACTGCTTTGTCCATGTCCAAACAGCCCAGCATCGGCTTGACAGGGACACCGAAGGAAACGTTGCCGGCGCTCCCTGAGTCACTGGCTGCTAGCCTCTTCTCCCACAGCTCCTGCCACAACGCCACATCATTTCCACCAAGCGAGTCGCCAAAACTGCGGAAACTTCAGGAGTCACAAATAGAGACATGTGCCAAAAAGGAAAAAAATCAGAGTGGTTGGTGAATAGTGCAAAGCCAAGAGCTGCGTGCTGTGCCCCAAAGTGGCCCGCCTCCAGTTTCACATACACTACGTCGCGCCCCAGCACCGCGACCTTTGCATAGCCCTGGCGTTGAAGCCACACCCATCTCGGGCTTCGATCTGTCACTTCTTTTCCGTGGACCTGACTATCCACATCCCAAGCAAGCCAGCTGTGCAGCAGGCAGAAGGATGGAGTCTACCTGGACAGGCAAAAAAGAGGTTTCTTCATCAGAGGCATTCTTCACCTCAACATAATCTTTGTAACAGCAAAACAACAGGTGGTTGCCTCGTCCCCGGTTCTCGGCAGAAACCACGCCCGCTCGTGCCTCCAGCCAGCGAGCTCCGCGAGTTACTTCGATAACCTCCGGCATCACCACACGTCTTACTCCACAGTCCATGCGTCTTAGCCCCAAATCATCAAGTAACGTGTTGACGCAAATGCACTCTTCAAGTCGAACTGCACTTGGTCTCACTCTCGCTGGAGCCCCATGCAATCACCCGGATGTCGAAGTCCTGAAAGGGAAGTCCCTTCAGCACTGCGAGCTCCTGACATGGGGAGACAATTTCTTGCCCAACAAACGGGACACTTGCTTGTTTTTGAAGATCGGAGAGTCTGAATAACCATCCAACTCAACTCACATCAAAGATGGAACTGCTGGATATGCTCAGCCCTACCTCAGGAATCTCAGTCAGTAACACAACTCCACTTGGCGTCATTCTTGCCAGTGGGGTCGACTGGCAAAGGATCAGAGCATCCAAAAGTGGTCTTCTCAATGCACCATCCAAAAGGGGAGCACAAGTAGCAAGTAGCTGCAAAGTAGCTGAGTGTGAGCAGCCCCTACCTGGTGCTCCACGTCTATGTTCATCAGGTCGATGCGGCCTGTCAGCCCCGCCCGCCGCAGGATCTCCCCCAGCGGCAAGCAGTCCTGGCGATAGAGCTTTCCAGCGACACGTGAATAAGTTTCAGCTGCTGCGCAACGGAAACACGCGTGCCGCTCCGCCATGAACTCGACCTTGCCCCCGCGGTCAGCAAACGGGCGCTGGAGTCTTCCTTCCTGCCCAGAACATCCTTCGACTCTGACTCATCTGAACCCTCCGAACCCTCCAAACCCCTCGCAGCCCTCGCCTCGTCTGCACAGTTCCTGGGCTGCGCGGGTGTATAACCAGTCGGCCGTCAAGGCCTCTCGCCCCACATGGGTTTCTTACAGGGGTGCGTTCCCTTTGCCCAAAGAAACAGGCATCCTCAAAAAAAGCACGCCACGTCAACGAGTCCAAGGAGCGTGAAGACTTGGCAAGACCGATATGCCTCGCAAGCTGGCAAACCGCATAAGCTCGCAAAACCCCGCAATACTGTTTAACGCATGTTTACTTTTCACTACTTTCACTCACATGCGTTGCCTCCAGGATGAGGCTCAGGTGCGGGTTGGGCTCAATGCAAACGCCTTGCCAGCCCAAGCATCTGTCCAACATCACCTGGGCAAACAGGGAAAACGAATGAACGAAAGGCAACGGTCATCGTGAAGTGGTGAAGCCATGAAGCAATTGGTCCGAGACTGAGGCGACCACCGTGTTGCTGTAGTCGAATGGCAAGGAGGCCCCGACGTCCACATACACGCCTTTAGACTGCAGCCCGAGGAAGTTCCGCAGCGCAAACCAGTCCTGGCCTCGGAGAAGCAGTGAGGGGTGACTGGACTGAGACCCTCAGGGAATACTTTGAAGTTGAAGCAGTTGAAGCCGGGTGGCCAAACTCGGAGATGGACGCGTTGGACCCACCCTCGGTGCTGAAATCTTCGCAGCGCAGCTGCAGCACATTGGGGTCCTGGAGGATGCTCGTGAGCACCCGGGAGGCCTAACGGCAAGCCGGCTCGTGCACGCGGAAATTTGCTCGGAATCCGGGTGCCAAGCGCAAATCCTTCGGGTGCAGTAGCCCCTCATCATCAGGTAGGTCCTCTCCCAGAAGGAGTTCAGGTGCCCACATGCCGGGCTGGCAACCTGGGCACGGCTCGGGTCCCTGTGCGCCTCCCCAGCGCCCAGCCTCGGAGGTCTCGTGGATGCACTCGTCAGAGACCCAAACGGCCACCACGTGTGTCCCCAACCGCGGCATGACGCGGTCTAGCGAGAAGCGGACAGAGACCTTGGAGAAGAGCACCAGGTCGCAGCGAGCGCCGTCCTAGGTCCCCATTGCGAATGGACTTGCACGTCCGATAAGGGTCGATTATCTCAAGCCTTGCTTCCATTCAGCCATTTGGAGATAGGGAAGCCAAAACTTCGCTCTGCGAACTCTGTCTTTGGGACATCCGGACGAATCCCACGGAAGTCTCGCTCCTCGCCGACCGCCCCGGCGGGGCGTTTCCACAGGCCGTTGCGCCGCACACGGCCGGGGAAGGCCTCTGCGAGCTGCAAGGCCATGTCTGACCTTAAGCTCTGACCGTGGCCTCACCGCCTGTGGCCTGACCCTCTAAGCGGAAATGGGGAGAGGGAGATGCAAAGGCAACACGCTCGGCAAGAAACATACCATCTCCAAGGTCGTTGATCTCGAGCTCCTGCCACGCCCAGAGCTCACAGTCAATGGTTTTCTTTTTTGATAATCTATCTGCGTCGTGCCAGAAGGTGCAACCCAAACTGCCCTCGCAAGTCCCTCCGACTCCTCCAAGGGTGGCTCGGCAAAGGTCAACATCCACTGCGCCAGTTCGAAGGTTGCAGGGCTCAAGCCAAACTGACAAACCCGGCGTAGAGTCGGAGCCTCTCCCTGGCAGACAAGTGGCAGGGCAACAAGTTCTTGCCCCACATGCATCACAACTGTTTCGCCCTGGTCAACACTCTATTTGTGACCCGTGTCTGTGATTCCAAGTGATTGCCGGACTTCGCCTTTTGAGCGGCACATCCTTGATGCAAGTCATGGTCCCTTTCTAGAGCATGATATCAGGTTGATGAGAGTCTCACTCGAAAGGTCTTTGGATCGGGTCCTGGGGCACGTTGCGGGACTGCTGCTGGACCACCACCATGTCCCAAAGATGTTGGAACTCGGCGCTGAGACCATCGAGAGCATCGGGAGCATCGAGAGCATCCGCAGGCTCGAGGGCCGTCGCCAGGGCTGCCAGGCCCAGGCAAAGAGCGCCCCGCATGGCTTGGAAGCATTGGGGTCCCTTCCCCGGGATGCGCCAAGCGCAGATCAAGAGTGCTTCTCCGTTGGTTTCAATATGAGTTTGTCTAGGCCGGAAAAAGTCGAAAATGGTTGGCACTGTTGGCGGGCGTCCTTCCAAACAACGTTCAATCAACCCAAAACAGTGTAGTCTCAAAACCAACCATACACAAGTTCACGGCGTGCTTTGCGTCTTTACGCAGCTGCAGCGCTTCTTTGCTCAAGAGACAAGCCTGACAGACAGCCGAACTGCCGTGACCTCACTGGATCAAACCTTTTTGCTGAGCTGGGCCGGGCACATGGATTGTGTCTGAAGCAGCTGATTTGCAGTTTCCACTCAATACATGAACTTGTTTTCATGCCTCAACAACCTTCCTCATCCCCGAAACTGCAAGCCGTCAGCTGTCAGCAAGCGTAAAAAGGCAGTGTCCTGGCCCAAAACAAGCACCCTGCTAGAGCAGTCTGGGACGTTTCAGTAGTAGGTGCCGTCATCCTTGCCCTGCGCATCAAGCAGGCCCTTCCAGTAGTTGGCCTCATAGGCCTTCTTGGCATTGGTATCCACGAGCACCTCAACCTCGCCGGAGCCAAGGAAACCACCTTGTCGGCACTCGAAGACCAGGAGGTTCTTCTTCTCAACGATCAGGCCCGTGAGGGGGCCAATCACAGGAGGAGACACGCACCAGTCGATGAGTTCGCCGTTGGTCACCTTGAAGGAAGAGCCGTGCAAAGGGCACACAATCACATCCCCAATGACATCAGCGCCCTCGCTCATGGGCGTACCGATGTGCGGGCACAGGTTGCCGACGCAGAAGAGCGCCCCTGCCTCGGTCTTGCCGATCAGCACGTCGTTGCCCGCCAGGGTCAGCGCCCGCAGCTCCGTCGGCTGCAGCTCGGACGGCTTCACGCCCGACTTGATCCAGGCCAGCGATGGCAGGATGGTCTGGGTAGTGTACCGCGCCGCCGTCTTGGAGGGCAGGTCTGAGGAGCTGGCAGGGGTCGCACCGCAGAAGGCCGAGCTCTTGGCTGCTGCCGACTCCCGGGGCAGAGCAGACACGCCTGGCACGCTGCCCGGCACATAGTGGCCCACCACGCAGGACATGAAGGCCATCATAGCGAGGCGGCCATTCTTCAGCTCCTTGAGCTGCATGCTCTTCATGGACTCCGCATCCTTGGCCAGCTTCAAAGGGTCGAAGCCCAAGTCACCGGGCTCGCGGTCCATCTGCCCGATCCAGGAGTCCTTGGGGAAGTAGGCACCCTCGATGACCATGGCGAACGCAGAGATCTGAGCAATTCCAAAGCCCACAATGCCCGCAGGGTTGTCATAGCACGCCTTCAACGCCTCGTACCACGGTGCCTCAGGGTACCCGTCGATGTGGAAGGACTGCTGTGCAAAGATGCCCACAATGGCGAGCATGGCGCACCGGCCATGCTTCAGCTCCGACTCCCGCAGCCACTGCACGTGGGGGTAGGTCATGTTGCCGTTGAAGTCAAAGTTCCGGTCGTAGAGCTTGCTCAAGCCTAGAGGGTCCCAGGGCTTGCCCACCTCGCATGCCGTCTCCACGTCCGGGCCCACCATGGTCAGGCAGGCCTTGTAGCTGCCGGGCAGCGGAACTCCCCAGTCTCCCACCAATTGCGGCAGCTTCGGCACGCCCGACGGGCCCGGCTTGTAGACTGGGTAGTCCCTCAGGACTCAGCTTCAATGTGCATCAGCATGGTGCATGCAGGCTGGCGATTCAAGTGAGCAGCGCCCAGTCAAACCCGAAACCAAAGCCTAGGGTTGGCAACAGAACGAAACACGATACCTTGCCCAATGCTTGGCTCTCGACGCGGTGTCCACAGGCTGCATGTGCTTGGGCAGCGTCGCCATCTCCTGTGTACGCCAGCTTGCTTCTTGCCATCCCTGGAATCATGGAAACCAGGGAGTCATCAGGAAAGAACTCGCCCAGGCTGTGAGCACTGTGAGGGTTCTAATTGGCTCTGGCATACACCTGCACTCCGATCCTGTGCGCGGCGGGCCGTGCGCTTGACCGCGCCAGCGGCAGCCAGGGCGCCACACAAAGCGGCCACGGCCTCAAGGCCACGCAATCGACAAAATCGGGCAATGGGCAATGGCAAGCACCGCGCCTTGGTGCTAAAGACGCCTCCAGGCTGCGCTCCTTACGCGGGAAATATATTTGAAAAACGCCCCTGACTTATCAAGGAAGGGGCAAAGACTTACAGTTGTTTTTTGGCTTTGTCTAAGCTGCAGAAGGAGCGCCTGCAACCGGAAGGGGCATTGATTCGCCCGTTCAAAGTTCAAAGTACTGTAGTTAGTAGCCACTGTCCTTCGCTTTCACTATTTTCACTTCTCATGGGCGCGTCCAGGCTACCCTGTCCCGTCCTGTGTTCACATGGCCCTGGACCAAGATGGGGTTTGCCTGGCTCTGGCCTGCCTCAGTACCAAACTACACTGCCACCCTCCATCTGCCTATCTTCCCGACAAGTCAAGCACCCCGGTCTTGACTCATTGACTCATTGACTCCTTGACTCATTGACTCATTGACTCATTGACTCATTGACTCATTGACTCATTGACTCATTGACACGTCATAAACAAGGACTTGCTCTGCGCCTCTGCACAACTGCGCCTCTGCGCCCCAAAATTCCAGCGCTTGAGAACACAGCGTACGGCTCAGTGCCAGGCTGTGGCAGGCACAACGAAAGCCACCTGCCACGTGGCTTGTGGTAAGCAACAACTAGCGCTCTCTGTCTCACCGGAGAATGCGACAACCAAGTTTAGAGCATCAAAGCTCTCTCGCCTCCATGGCTTTGGACGAGTGACGCTCACCGCCCGTTTTGGAGGGCAAGGCTTTCTGAGCCGAGCAAAGAAAACAAGAAAGAAAGCAACCGCATTAGGCTGCACACATACAGCACTCAGAAACAAGAGCAGCAAAGCAAGATCTTTTGGAGAGCGAACAAAAAGCCGGCAGCATCTAAGCTGCGTGATCTAGCTCGCTCTTCCATGCCACTCAGTTGCTCAGTAGTAGGTGCCGTCATCCTTGCCCTGCGCATCAAGCAGGCCCTTCCAGTAGTTGGCCTCATAGGCCTTCTTGGCATTGGTATCCACGAGCACCTCAACCTCGCCGGAGCCAAGGAAACCACCTTGTCGGCACTCGAAGACCAGGAGGTTCTTCTTCTCAACGATCAGGCCCGTGAGGGGGCCAATCACAGGAGGAGACACGCACCAGTCGATGAGTTCGCCGTTGGTCACCTTGAAGGAAGAGCCGTGCAAAGGGCACACAATCACATCCCCAATGACATCAGCGCCCTCGCTCATGGGCGTACCGATGTGCGGGCACAGGTTGCCGACGCAGAAGAGCGCCCCTGCCTCGGTCTTGCCGATCAGCACGTCGTTGCCCGCCAGGGTCAGCGCCCGCAGCTCCGTCGGCTGCAGCTCGGACGCCTTCACGCCCGACTTGATCCAGGCCAGCGATGGCAGGATGGTCTGGGTAGTGTACCGCGCCGCCGTCTTGGAGGGCAGGTCTGAGGAGCTGGCAGGGGTCACACCGCAGAAGGCCGAGCTCTTGGCTGCTGCCGACTCGCGGGGCAGAGCAGACACGCCTGGCACGCTGCCCGGCACATAGTGGCCCACCACGCAGGACATGAAGGCCATCATAGCGAGGCGGCCATTCTTCAGCTCCTTGAGCTGCATGCTCTTCATGGACTCCGCATCCTTGGCCAGCTTCAAAGGGTCGAAGCCCAAGTCACCGGGCTCGCGGTCCATCTGCCCGATCCAGGAGTCCTTGGGGAAGTAGGCACCCTCGATGACCATGGCGAACGCAGAGATCTGAGCAATTCCAAAGCCCACAATGCCCGCAGGGTTGTCATAGCACGCCTTCAACGCCTCGTACCACGGTGCCTCAGGGTACCCGTCGATGTGGAAGGACTGCTGTGCAAAGATGCCCACAATGGCGAGCATGGCGCACCGGCCATGCTTCAGCTCCGACTCCCGCAGCCACTGCACGTGGGGGTAGGTCATGTTGCCGTTGAAGTCAAAGTTCCGGTCGTAGAGCTTGCTCAAGCCTAGAGGGTCCCAGGGCTTGCCCACCTCGCATGCCGTCTCCACGTCCGGGCCCACCATGGTCAGGCAGGCCTTGTAGCTGCCGGGCAGCGGAACTCCCCAGTCTCCCACCAATTGCGGCAGCTTCGGCACGCCCGACGGGCCCGGCTTGTAGACTGGGTAGTCCCTCAGGACTCAGCTTCAATGTGCATCAGCATGGTGCATGCAGGCTTGCGATTCAAGTGAGCAGCGCCCAGTCAAACCCGAAACCAAAGCCTAGGGTTGGCAACAGAACGAAACACGATGCCTCGCCCAATGCTTGGCTCTCGACGCGGTGTCCACAGGCTGCATGTGCTTGGGCAGCGTCGCCATCTCCTGCCAACAAGATAGCTTCAGGCGCACTCGAGTTTCACTGCATTCAAGAATTGCCCAACTGAGTCTCTGTACCGAGGCTGCTTGCTGCTTTTCTTGGCAGGCCACTGGGGACCCTGTCTTGCGCTTGTTCCTGCGCAACATTGCTGTAGTCCAAGGTTGAACGTGCTGCTGCTGGCGCCATCTTGCTTTCTTGGGCATCGGGGAATGAACCCCCGATGAATCATGCCTTCTTCTTCTGACAACAGCGTGTATGCTTGAGCGGGACCTTCCTGATGCAAAGCAGCCGGACGCAAAGGGTTCACTTTTTCAAGACGCAGAAGGTTCACTCGTGTGGGCAAGCTTGTTTCCAAAACGTACAGAGTTCGCAAGGGGTTCACTATTTGAAGCAAACCTGCTTCCAAACCATAAACACTCTGCCTGAGAGGTGGTTAACTTTTGTGAGGACGGTTGATTCCGAAAAACACCACAACAAAGTGTTCGATTCCGTGGGTGCATTTAGGGTTGGCGGTTGCATGTACAGTTGGTTTAGGGTAAGTTTTGCGCTTGTTTAGGGTGTCTTTAGGGTGGGTGTCGGTTGTCTTTCGGGTGGATATGTTTTCTTTTTCTTTCTTTTTTTTCCGGAGCGTGTCATCAGGAGAGTTTAGAAGATGGGGCCCAACTCATCTTGTAAGGCTCAGAAAGGGGAAAGTGGCCACAAACGCAAGAATGGAGGGACAGAGCCGTCCATCTCTTTCCAACTCCTGGCTCGTCTCTGATCCCAAGTACAAGACTAACTCCGAGAGACACAGATGGGCCACCCTCCATCATGTAGTGGCTTCTCTGTGCCAGACGGTGTATATAATCAAGAATGGAGTGATAGAGACTGCTCTGCATTGGTTAATCTATTCTGCTGGTAGATAATTGATTCATCTTTGTACCTAGATTTACAACACAAATATTAGACTCTGCGGTTGATTTGCTTAAACAAAAAAAGGAAAATACTCGAGATGTGCAAAAATACTGAAAGAAGAGAAAAAAAAATGATTGACTGGTGAAGGAAAAGCTCCAAATAAGCAATACCGAGAAGAACAAAAAAAGAAAAAAATGAACAGATAGAACTCATATATTTTCTGCTGGCATATCAGTTCTAATTGATCAATCCGGTGTCCATTCACAATTAATAAACCAAAGCAATATGTATATAATATAGTAGACACCTTTGTGCATACATGAACGTCAACTGCACACTTAAGTAACAAATATGTGTAGTATGTGTATATATCCGCTGTACAAGCAGTGATTGCAGTTGATGTTTCAGGGTAAGTTAAGGGTTGGGTAAGGGTCGTTTCAATGCTGGGTTAGGGTGGATGCAGTTTAGGCTGGGTTTGTGGTTTAAGGTTTTGTGTGGGTTGGGTTCAGGGTGAGTTAAGGTAGGTTCACGTGGGCTCCGGGTTGGTTTAGGGTTTGTTTAGGGTTGCTGGTTGAGGGTGGTGGGTTTAGGGTCAACGCTAAGGCTTGTGTAGGGTTGGTCGGTTTAGGGCGTGCTTAGGGTTGGGGGGTTTAGGATTTGTTTAGGGTTGGCTTAGGGCTGTGGTTTCAAACAAGGGTCTAAGTTCTGTAGGGATGTCGTTTCGTTTCCGGAATGCCAGCAGGTTGGCAGGGTTGGTTCACAGTGCGCTTTCTTCCGGGGGGGTTCAGGCTTGTTAGGGTCGGCTGTGGGCTTCTTCGCCAGCGCTGCTTGCTACTCGTTTGGAACTCATTCCAACCGCTCCTGCGCGCGGCGCGCCGTGCGCTTAGCAGCTCCGGCCGCCGCCAGTGCACCGCACACGGCCAGAGCCGCCTCACGACGCTATTCTAAAGTCAGCACAGTTCGGGACCCCAATGATGGCATCGTTGCCAAAAGCAGGATTGCCAATTCAGCAAGTGGGAGGTTCATGGTGTCCTGTTAAGCATCTCGACACGTGATTCATGGCTTCACCCCATGCACAAGCAATCAACGAAAGCAAAGGATACTTTAGGATGTCGTCTTCGAGGCCTTGCTGCTGAAGCCACCCGCTGCCTGGGCTCCTTTTGGGCTCACAAAGCATCTTCCAACGCGCACGGCCGTGTCCTGGAGCGACATGGTTCGAGGCCAGCGGCGCAGAGCTCTGCGCCTGACCCTCGGAGCAAAAGGCTTTAGACAGAGAAGAAAGAAGAAGAAAAGAAGAAGAAAAGAAAACACTCGACGCACCAAGCACGTGACAGCCACGAGTCCTTCCCAATGCCCTTCCATCCGAACGCACGGAAGCCCTGAGGTCCCAGGCGGTCACGGGAGCAACGAAGGCCACCTGCGGACGCAACGCGCCCGTCACGGTTCGGACAAAACTACTTGACAGTTCTTCAATGCGGTGCGAGATACCGAGCTCGGCCTCCATGGTTGCGAGCAGACACCCCCTCTTGGGCAAAGCGGCCGGTTCTGAGCCCAATGCCGCTTAAGTGTGCAAATGATGTTCTTACGCAAATGGCCCAAAGCCAGCAACAGAGAGTGAAGCCGATCCGCTCATTCACCCCCGTACTTTTTGAAGAGCGAACAAAAAGCCGGCAGCATCTAAGCTGCGTGATCCAGCTCGCTCTTCCGTGCCACTCAGTTGCTCAGTAGTAGGTGCCGTCATCCTTGCCCTGCGCATCAAGCAGGCCCTTCCAGTAGTTGGCCTCATAGGCCTTCTTGGCATTGGTATCCACGAGCACCTCAACCTCGCCGGAGCCAAGGAAACCGCCTTGTCGGCACTCGAAGACCAGGAGGTTCTTCTTCTCAACGATCAGGCCCGTGAGGGGGCCAATCACAGGAGGAGACACGCACCAGTCGATGAGTTCGCCGTTGGTCACCTTGAAGGAAGAGCCGTGCAAAGGGCACACAATCACATCCCCAATGACATCAGCGCCCTCGCTCATGGGCGTACCGATGTGCGGGCACAGGTTGCCGACGCAGAAGAGCGCCCCTGCCTCGGTCTTGCCGATCAGCACGTCGTTGCCCGCCAGGGTCAGCGCCCGCAGCTCCGTCGGCTGCAGCTCGGACGGCTTCACGCCCGACTTGATCCAGGCCAGCGATGGCAGGATGGTCTGGGTAGTGTACCGCGCTGCCGTCTTGGAGGGCAGGTCTGAGGAGCTGGCAGGGGTCGCACCGCAGAAGGCCGAGCTCTTGGCTGCTGCCGACTCCCGGGGCAGAGCAGACACGCCTGGCACGCTGCCCGGCACATAGTGGCCCACCACGCAGGACATGAAGGCCATCATGGCGAGGCGGCCATTCTTCAGCTCCTTGAGCTGCATGCTCTTCATGGACTCCGCATCCTTGGCCAGCTTCAAAGGGTCGAAGCCCAAGTCACCGGGCTCGCGGTCCATCTGCCCGATCCAGGAGTCCTTGGGGAAGTAGGCACCCTCGATGACCATGGCGAACGCAGAGATCTGAGCAATTCCAAAGCCCACAATGCCCGCAGGGTTGTCATAGCACGCCTTCAACGCCTCGTACCACGGTGCCTCAGGGTACCCGTCGATGTGGAAGGACTGCTGTGCAAAGATGCCCACAATGGCGAGCATGGCGCACCGGCCATGCTTCAGCTCCGACTCCCGCAGCCACTGCACGTGGGGGTAGGTCATGTTGCCGTTGAAGTCAAAGTTCCGGTCGTAGAGCTTGCTCAAGCCTAGAGGGTCCCAGGGCTTGCCCACCTCGCATGCCGTCTCCACGTCCGGGCCCACCATGGTCAGGCAGGCCTTGTAGCTGCCGGGCAGCGGAACTCCCCAGTCTCCCACCAATTGCGGCAGCTTCGGCACGCCCGACGGGCCCGGCTTGTAGACTGGGTAGTCCCTCAGGACTCAGCTTCAATGTGCATCAGCATGGTGCATGCAGGCTGGCGATTCAAGTGAGCAGCGCCCAGTCAAACCCGAAACCAAAGCTTAGGGTTGGCAACAGAACGAAACACGATACCTTGCCCAATGCTTGGCTCTCGACGCGGTGTCCACAGGCTGCATGTGCTTGGGCAGCGTCGCCATCTCCTGCTAGCACGTTCTTTGGACCAGAATATCCGTTCGAGCCAAAAGATCTCGCTTTATTGATATGTTTGGGTGTTTTAGCATGCTTGATCCATGGTTTCTCTGAAGAGCATTCGATCGCACCTGTAGCTTGAGTCACTTGATCATCACATTGTTCCGTCCATCTGTCCTTCTGAGGAAAGGGCTCGATTTGGTTCCTTAGACTGACTTACGGGGGGCGATAGTCATGCGTTCCGTCCAGGGATTCACACAACACACAAGTGCCACTCTTGGGGTGCAACGGAGACAGGGGGTGTTCGAGGAGCCCTCTCCTCTCCCCATCCGACATCCGACTCTCCTGCGCCGCCCGCTGCACTCGCTTCCTGGAGGCCAACCCCAGGGCCGCCGCCACGCCGAACGCGGCCGTCAGGCCAAAGGAAGCGCCTGCGGGGCCTGGCGGACCTGCTCAGACGTTACGCGAAGCGTCAAACCGTCAAACTCATTTCCTTGGCCATGGGGATTATCAAATACAGTACAAGTTCTTGGCCATCTTGTCTTGGGTCTGACAAGCTGATGCAAAAGAGTCTGGCATACACTACACAAACCAGGGCAAACGGCAGCAACGCACACTGCCAGTTCACAAAGCCAAGGATCAAGTCGGCAAGCAACAATCTTGTACGATGGGACCCTAGGCCAAAGAAAAATACTTTGCGGGGGTTGTAGGGTACCTGAATGACAAAGGATCGGACCGTATACATGACTGGCTCATTGCAACGGATATACAACTTGCTTGTGGAAGAGAGTTGTCAAGTCCGAACAAGGAAACTCCGGTTCTGGGCTATGCCATGTCTATTGAGCCTTTGGCGTCCCTAAAACTTGCTCTTCTGGGTTATGGACATATTCCCTACCTTGAAGTACCAACGCAGTGACGGGGCAGCGAAGTTCTATGCTCAACAAGCTAGGAAGAAAGGTCGAAACGGGCTCTGAAAAGTGAGCACAATAGCAAACCAGCAAGTGGATTCGTCACCAAACCCATGTCAAGAGCTACACGTACAGTATCATGCCTCGTAATGTGACCACAAGCGAAGCACTGGCCAGGCAGATCTTGCTCAAAGCAATTGGTCCATGGGTGGCCAAGAGCCAAACTGAGAAAAGACCAATTCGTACTGAGACGCAAAGCGATCACCACACTCTTCTCGCGAGAAAGCTGTCGAAGCTGTTGGACAGCTGGCTCGTCCAGGTGATAATGCAATGGAAGTTTCGGGCCAAAGCACAAAGTCTACCGCAAACAAGAAAGACCGCAAACACCTGCTCTGTGATGGTGGCAGACTGGTATGGCGAACTTGTTACACCATAAATACTCACAGTCCACTGCAAGCAGCCCAGCCTGGTGCCTTCCCTGCATGCGCAGGGGCTACGGAGCTTGCTACCTGAACAGTACGATAAGTCGCTGAAAGCTGGCAATGACCAGAACACAAGTCATGCTATCACCATACTTTGATTGGTGGTTTGGGTTGAGGTGGTTTGGAGTCAGGGCATAGCTTCTTATTTGGTCCAAGCCACCGACTCTCCACCTGCAAATTAACTGTGCCTCTATTCATGACCGTTTTCGGGGTGCCATGTCGATGGCGGAGGGGGCTGCCGCAAAGGAGGGGGACACAAAACACCAACCAGCCAGCCAGCCAGCCAGCCAGCCAGCCAGCCAAACCACAAACCGCAACCGCAAACAGCAGAAAACATTGTAGTTGAGGTTGTAATTCTAAGGAATAGAAGCAGTAGCAGTGGTGGCAGTAGCAGTGGTGGCAGTAGCAGTAGTAGCAGCAGCAGCACACCCTAATAGTAGGCGAAGAGTATTGAGTAGCAGGTACTGGGTAGTAAGCAGTAGGCAGCAGGTAGGAGAGAGGAGGCAGCAGGTAGTGGGTAGTAGGTAGAAGAACGGGTTTGTGGTTGGCTATTCATTGTTTGATGCTTGTTGTTTTTTTCTTTTTGTGGTTTGTTGAGGTGGCTTGGTGTCGTGACAGCGTCAACCTATCCATTCCCTGCTTGCAAATATCATTTAGATACCTGGACCTGTGCTTCTGAGCCACCCTATCAAAAAAACCATAGTGTCTTTGGTTCTTGCCAAGCTGGTGTCCAAAGATTTAGGATGACTTTCTCAAGGTTGTACCACCAGACGCCGGAACAAACCCCCGCAAGGATGAGACAATAATCAGGGGTAAATAAGGCTTGACTGTCATGTTGCTTCTTTGGGGTGTACGGAACAAAACAGTGTCTGAGCGCCAGGCATTAGTGGCAATAGGAGTCAGGAAGGCAACCTGAGCAGCTCGCGTTCCAGACGGGCCACCTCACGCTGGCACTCCAAGGCCAGTCGGAATGATATTTTGCCAAATAACCATCTTGTGGAGTCTCCTTGTAACCCTCTTGTGGAGTCTCCTCTCCCGGCTCCTTTGGGAAGGGATGGAAAGACTGAGGATGTTTGGAGCTGCCCTCTGGCCGCTCACCCGCCTCCATGGCTCGCAAAGGCAACGTGGCAACTCTGCCCGCACTGATGGCAACTCGAGCCGCGTTGATAAGTGCACAAAGTGCTTTGCTAAACCACAAATGCCGAAGCGGCTTACTATGCAAGCGACTGACCGAATGCAAATGAGCCACTGGCAGAAAAAGGAGCCTATCGATCTATCCAATCATCTAATGGATTGATTCTCCCGAATGTCTCGGTTCCTCTCTTGGAACCAGCCAGTCTTAGCCCGGCGTTCAAATGCTTCAGGGCCTTGCCGTGCCCTCCTGCAGCTCCGTGACTCCAACCCTATCCCAGGCACAAAAAAAGACCAAGAGCTGAGCTGCAACTCACCGCAACTCACCTGCTCGAGGCTCGGCGGCTCTTTTCCGGCGCACGCAATGTGAAACCGCGCATGCCGTCAAGACACGTTCACCATGTCTGCCCGTGAGGGTTCACTATCTTCTCAGGAAACTGCTACCGGAATCTATCCATCGTAAACACTTCTGGCAAGCTGAACAGCCACACCAGATTGTAAAAGCAGTTGGAAAAACGAGACACTCAGGTCAACGATATGACCCCGTTATTCCCATGGACCTAGCGGCATCTGGCAAGAATGCCTCACCTCAGTAGTAGGTGCCGTCATCCTTGCCCTGCGCATCAAGCAGGCCCTTCCAGTAGTTGGCCTCATAGGCCTTCTTGGCATTGGTATCCACGAGCACCTCAACCTCGCCGGAGCCAAGGAAACCACCTTGTCGGCACTCGAAGACCAGGAGGTTCTTCTTCTCAACGATCAGGCCCGTGAGGGGGCCAATCACAGGAGGAGACACGCACCAGTCGATGAGTTCGCCGTTGGTCACCTTGAAGGAAGAGCCGTGCAAAGGGCACACAATCACATCCCCAATGACATCAGCGCCCTCGCTCATGGGCGTACCGATGTGCGGGCACAGGTTGCCGACGCAGAAGAGCGCCCCTGCCTCGGTCTTGCCGATCAGCACGTCGTTGCCTGCCAGGGTCAGCGCCCGCAGCTCCGTCGGCTGCAGCTCGGACGCCTTCACGCCCGACTTGATCCAGGCCAGCGATGGCAGGATGGTCTGGGTGGTGTACCGCGCCGCCGTCTTGGAGCGCTTTCGGCTGGAAGCCAGTCCAGCCGCAGCAATGACACTGCAAGCGCCAGCCGCCATTTTCACTCCAAATCCGGTGCGCGACTTTGGTCCTGCAAAAATGACCCCAAGGCAATGGCAAGGGGATCACATCCACATGCAAGCAACACGACGCCTGCTGAAGTGTGCACTTGGGGTGCACGAGCGGTCACGCCAACCTTGCTAAACCATGGTTTGCTTGCAGATATGCAATCAAAATGGATCACACTGCAGAAACCTGCCTTTCCCGAAACTGATTCTGCACATTTGCCATTCTGAGCGGCGAACTGATGGTGCAAGAAATGCCACCTTGCAACACCAATTCAAGAAAGCGTCGCAGTGTCGACCTGGGCCTCATGCAATCCTAGCCTCCAGCGCCATGTCTCAAGGTTCAGGCGCGTAAGTGATCCAACTCGAGCCAGCTCGAATGGCACGCTTTCAGGAAGAAACCAGCACACAGAACTCCAAAGAAATTTGTTTCTGGACATTGTGTAGACTGACTGCTGGCACGGTCTGCCAGACAAGCCAAATCCATCCGTCAAAAAATTGTAGACAAAATTCAAAGGAAAGGAAAAGCAAGGAGTCAAGGCAACTATGTCATTGGTGACCACTGGAACTATTAACAACGTGAAGGTCGTCACCTTCCCATGGGTCCCCATGCAACGACTCCAACATGCTGGACATGATTATGTGGCTGCCGCAACGTTTTGGTTCTTGTGATGCGTGCGGTTCAGTTCGAACGGTTGTGTTCTGAGCAACGTGAACATTCCACAAAACAAAGGCTCATGTGGGCCAAATGCAAGCGTGCACACGCGTACCTTCAACTGGTTTGGAGCAACCACGCCGAACATGGTACCAAAAACTGGTAAGTTAGAATCTTGATCACTGCTTCAATCCGAAAGGGAACATGCAGTCCAAGATAAAAGGGTGCGACCGACAAACATGTGTGCACGCTCTTTTTCTTTATGAGGCGTTGCTTGGAAGTTGAGGCTCAGAGGTGCAGGGGGAAAGACATGGCGTGTCCTTTCCCCGTATCTGCACCCCTTTGCGGAGCCTCCTCATATGCCCCCGTGGTCAACAATGCGTGTTCGACCAGGCGCCAGGTGTGTTACCTGTGAGGCGTGAAACAATCGAAGGCATTGATGGCGGCAGGATGCAATGTGGCATCCGGCTGGTGTGCAATGCGGCACACGGTGTGCATCCGGCTTATGTGCAATGGGTGCCAGGCTGAGGCCTGGCAGTAGCTACAGCATGCGGGGCTGGTTGCGCACCGAGCCTTTTAGGCGGCAGCTGCGGCTGGGCCCTGGCGGAAATATTGCACGCCATCGCTGGTGCGAAATGCGGCTCACGGTGCTAATTGAATTTTGTAACCTCTGCAGACAGGTCATGGTATGCACCGTACCTCTGGGGCTAAGTGTTGACAGGGTGGGAGGGCGGGCGCAAAAAAGTGAGGGGTAACCCTCACGCAAGTCCCTTAGGTGGCTTGAAGCAGAAAACGGCAACGCGTCCGAAGATTCGATCAAGATTAAAACATATGGGAAAATAAAACCCTAAACGATAGAATCTTGATCACTGCTTCAATCCGAAAGGGAACATGCAGTCCAAGATAAAAGGGTGCAACCGACAAACATGCGCGCACGCTCTTTTTCTTTATAAGGCGTTGCTTGGAAGTTGAGGCTCAGAGGTGCAGGGGGAAAGACATCGCGTGTCCTCTCCCCGTATCTGCACCCCTCTGCGGAGCCTTCTCATATGCTCCCACTTCAAGCAAACGGCCTAATCTAGCACCCGCTCTTCAGCATTAGCGCCAATTGGGCCAGGGTTTCGAAGCACGCTATCGGCCACTGCTGCTGGACTTCTTGGAAGTCCCACGTTTCTGCAAACCAGGAGACGGAGCGTAAACCAGCCAACCGTGCCGACTGTGGTGCCCTCGGCACAAGCATCTGCGGCTGCTTGCATGCCAAGATTGGCTTGCTGCGCAGCGGGCATGCCAAATCGGCCTGAAAACATTGAAGGAGCCACTCAATGTTAGCTTTGCTTGCCGCGGACAAGCGCGTGTGCTCGGCAGCTGGGTCGGCTACGCGCACCCACGGAGAAGCTGCGTATTGAGGTTTGCTGATACTCTAAGACCTGGAGCCAACCATCCCAGCTCCAGCACTCGCAGCCCTGCCCCGCTTCCGGCTGCGGTTCATGAGAAGGCGAAGTAGAGTGCGGTGGTCAAAGGCACGCCCGGGCCGTGCCCGGTGGAAGGCGAAGGCAAAGGCGGGTCTGGCACCGGCGCAGTATCCATCTTGGAAGGTATCCGGCGCAAGTTGCGAAGGGCGCGCCTTCGTCTTAGGCTGTGTCCGTGCTTTGGGCATAGCCTTTGGGGCTGGCGCAGTGCTGGGCTTTTCAACGGCTGTTGAAGGCAATGCTTCATCCTTGGAGGGCTCTGACGGCGCTGGATGCGCTTCCTTGATGGCTGGGTTGGGCGGATCCGCGCCCGGCTCAAGGCGAGGAGAGTCGGGGGCCAATGCATCTGCCCAGGGCTTTGTGATGGGCGACAAAGGCTTCGACAAGAAATCCGTCCTGGGTGCAGGGACGGCTCTTCCTCTGCTGGCGTAATTGGCGAAGGCTCGTGCGAAGGCTGTGCATCAGCTGTCTGGGGCATTGCCTCGGTCTCTGCCGTCTGAGCGGAGTGCGTGGAAGGCGATGGCTGCGATTGCTCGCGGACCAAAGAGGCTATGCGCTGATTCTCGGCTGTCATCTGCTGGAAGTTCGCCATAAAGGCTGCAAAGGCTTCCGGGTCAGGCTCCGGCATGGCAAGGCAGATGAAGGAAAGAAATACAAGACCGAAAACCGGGTCACGTGACGGCGTTGGCCGGACAGACCTCGAAATGCGCACAGTGAACGCAAGGGTGAGGGAGCTAGGCAGTTTGTGTGCGGTGCGGGCAAAGGCCAAGGCTCCGGCATGGCAGAGTAATCCTAGGTTAGAAAAAATGCACACGGAAAAATTTGGCTGCAAAGCAAGGCCATGTATCTTTCTTCAAGGCTACGAGTATTGGGAGGTGAGATCCACTGGACCCGTCGGGTCCTGTCGGATGGCTGGGTCGGTGACGGCTGCCATAAGGCCCCTGACCGCGAAGCGTCCTTATGTGACTGCGAAGGACTCCAAAGCTTCCTGGCTGAAAACATGGCTCACATTAGCGAACGCAGTGGTAAATGCACACAGTGCATCGAACCTGGCAAGATTGCGAGGCCGTTCAAAGAAATTTCCTATCCACGGGACAAGCAAGCGAATCCATTGCTGGCGCAGCACCGAGCCGGGCAATCCATCTAAATGATGCCTCACACTGGCAACAAATTGAGTGCTTGCGCCTGCGGTGTCATAAGGTCCAAGGCTGTGGCCAAGTGCTGCACTAAGGTCGCTGGCTGAGTGACTGGATCAGCAGTGGCGACCTGGCTCACGTGAAGAGTGGAGTGCCCGAACAAATGTGGCTGCCCCGAATGGTAGGCCTTTTTTGCGACACCTGTCAGGCTGTCGCAAAAAAAAAAAGAGGGCACTTGTCGTGACTCTCAAGGCACCAAGGCTCCGAAGAAAAGGTCCAAACTTTCGCGAGAAGCCAAAGGCCTTCACAGAGTGCAATGGCAACAAGGCACAGGGCGCTGACATGGCACAGAAACCGAGTGCGGGCAAGGATGCAGCAAATCTCATCCAGGCACACTTCGATATCCAAATAACTTCGGGCTAGGGTTGTGTGGATGCGTCGAGAGCGTCCTCGTGCTCCATGGCTGAGGGCACAGCGATGGCTGCGTGTGAGTGGCAGAACTTCGAGAACTGCATGCGCGGTGTGAATGTCAAGGTAAAATGCGCAACGCAAAAGGCGGATTGTAACCAGGCGGGCTGACAGGATGGTCAGGCTGCGGTTACATCGGCATCTGGCATGACCAAGAATTATTAAACATGAAAATGTCGCATGTTCCTCGATTGCCGAGGATTAAGGCAAGCACGCGGTGAGAAGCCTTCTTCTTGGCGGACCAAGGCAACCTGACACGCGGTGTCAAGGAAAGGCTGTGGAGTGAATTCTCCTGAGCCTGAAGGGCAAGCACGCGGCGCACGTCCTTCTGCTTGGTCAACCAAGGCAACCTGACACGCGGTGTCAGGCAAAGGCTGTAGAGGATACTCTCTGGGCCCCGAAAAGCGCACGCGGCGCACCGCCTTCTTTTGGTTGACCAAGGCGAACCTGGCCTGATGCGCCAGGGAAAGCAAATGCAGGATGATCCTGAAAATGCTTAAAGGCAGCACGCGGCGCAAGGCCTTCATCTTGTCGCGGCAAGGCATCCTGACGCGCGGCATCAGGGAATGGCCGTGGAGAAGCGTCTCACTGGGCCTAACGCGGCGCACGGCCTTCTTCTGGGCGGACCAAGGCGACCGATCTCAGGGCTCAAGGCAAGCACACTGATGTGTGAGGCCTTCTTCCTGACATGTGCAGGGCAACCTGTCACGCGGTGACAGGGAAAGCAAATCCCAGCGGGGAGATGCCCAACATTTCCCAGACCAAGGCCGGACTGCAGTTGTCGTAAGGGTCGATGCCAAACTTGGATGGCGCCTGACAACAGTCGGCCTGCGCTCCAAGATGTACAGCATCCTCACGGTCCAGCCCGACGGCGCGCGCAAGGAGAAGCGCAAGATCAAGGGCGTGCCCAAGAAGGCGGCGACCAACGTCCGGCCATCTTGAAGGCTCTTTTCACACCCGCTGCGAGCCCAGCTTCACTGGCATCGTGCGGTATGTTCATGCTGCAAAATGGGCATGCCATTGCTTGGAGCAGGTAAATGGCAGCGTTGGCCAAAAAGGCTGCGGTCATGCACAACTACAGCTTCAACTTTCGTGATGTTGTGCCGTGTGCTGCAGGATGCCACTGGCCAGGTGTAACGCTACAGAATGCTTTAAATAAAGAGGGGGGGTCTCTTTTTTTTCTATAGCATTCCGTAGCGTTACAGTTGGGTTTGCGCCCACGTTTTACACGAGGCGGCAGCTCGCAGTTTCGCTACAGCTTAGCTTGACTTGGCTGGGCTTTGCGCAAGGGTAAGGCAATGTGCAGCCTCATTTGTTCGTGGTGTCGTCCACTTCTTCGGCTGCGTTCTGACAGTCTTCGACATCAGAGGCAACTTGAGCTTCTTCGGCGGCTGGCTGCTCCTCGTCCGCAGTGGAATGTTGCCCTCCTGCAGCTGGGCTTCGCCCTGCCGCCTCGGCAGTCGGGCTTTGCCCTGCCGTTGCGGAGCTTGCCTGTCCTGGCTCAGCAGCTGGCTGCGCATCCACCGGAGCCTCGTCTTGCCCCGCCGCGGCCGTGGATGGCTGCTGCCGCTTCATCAGCCACTCGAGATCGGCGGCACTCAAGCGCCC